GAAATAGAGTTCAACGAGAACCATTTACATAGTGATTTTTCTGTTTTATTGGTTTTTATTGTTTTGTGTGGCATTCTTAGGATTTAAAGAAGGAAATATTGTAATTTCATCATCTCTGTTAAGAACGTTTCTTCCCCGTACTTTCATTAACCGTATCCCTTATTTACATAAGGTGTTTTTGTTTTGGGTGTTTTTTCTGTCATTCATGAATTAAATTATGGTTTTACTTGCAGAAATAAAATAGCCTTTCATGGACACAACGCAAGTAATCGTATTGTGATATTACTTATAAGCAAACAAGTATAATATTTTGTGAGTAGATTTATTCTAAAGGATATTAGGATTTATAATATTATACATTGCTTAACACAGGCCATTGGTTTTCTCATTTGAAATATTTTACATTTTCATGCAGGGGCCTTTTTAAGGCAAACTTAAATGGGTGGTGTTACATCTTACAAAGTCTATATTTCGTAAAGAATTCGGCTCAAACCGATGATACTCGGCCTCTTATACTTGCAATGATGTCTTTTTTTTGCTTCGTGGTGAACGTTTACTGAAACTGTGCGATGAAGAACACCAATAAAAGAACTGTTCTTGAGCTTTTTGTGTGTTTTTTGCTGTGCATATACTGATTGTGTGAAACGGACAGATATCCTTAGTTTTTCTATACTATTTTGATTGTGTAGTTTTTTTAAGAGTCTCGTCTTTGGTCTATGGTGGCTAGCTTTATTTATTTCTAGTTATCTAGGGGGATCTAAACGGAGGCATTTACGAACTTACATTGTGGCATTGGTAAGCCACACAAATATGAAATATAAAGAGACAAACAAAAACTGTTATTAAACAGGAAAACATTATGACCAAGAAAAAAAGGACGAAAAATGGAATTTATATCTGCAATGAATTTTTACGTATTCATTATATAGCATTAATGTATCTTGTCTTCAACGGCAAGATTTACACACTTTTCATTAGAGAAGGAAGGGTTATATAATTAGAAATCATGTTAAATACACTGAAATTGTGTCAGTTGTTGATCTTGATATATGTACATTATAGATAGCATTGAAAGCATGTGCTTACAAATAATTTTAGAAAAAAAAGTCAATAAGAATGTTACTATAATCGTTCATCTCCTGGTTGGCTGCCACCCCTCAGATTTCCTGCTTACAATTCATTTTCCAGTGGCTATGCCACTGAAGACTTTTGAATATTCAATTATTATCAAAATAAGTTCCTCTTATGATTGGGATTGGCCTTACAATATCTACTGTGGAAGGGTGGTAATTAATAAATGCTACTAAAAGTTTCTTGATTGCTCAGAATATAAAAACAAAACATATTTTAGACGCCCACATTTATTTACTTACCTGTGTTTCTAAGATTATCTCCCTTAGTAAAATAAATAAATAAACCATCTGAATGTACCAAATTATATATATATATGAAAGTGAGTGAAATTTTAAATTAATGAAAGCAATAAAATTAAAAGACTTCCTTTAATGGAATATGCACTTTACAAATTTAAATGATATATATAAAATTCATGTACGCAATCCAAAATCACACATTTAGGTAAATAAGCAAGGATCCTTTTTTAAAACAGTCTATAGAACTGAGGACAGAGGACTCTTGAAATATTTACTTTTATTATGTATATGAATGATCTTGTTGTTATTGTTTATTTTTATTTTGTCATGTTGTGTCACACACTATTTGTTATGTAGTGTTATGGCAATAAAGATTTGAATTGAATTGAATTTAATACAAAATCCATAATTCTACTTGAGTTTATTTCTTTTTCATATACAACTTAATCTAAGTTGATTAACGGTGTCCATCGATGCAAGATTTTAGATTTTTTAAAAAAGACACAAAAGAAATGCCGACTGACAGTGTGATTCGAAATGAAATATACCAGATTGTTGACAAATCTGTATAATATAATTATTATTAAAACACGGTTATATCAAATTTTAGCAGTTTTCAAAAACGTTCCTATTCTGATCCTGCGAGTGAAACCGATATTGGACGATTTGCTTTACCTCTTTGTCACACGCACCTATATTTATGGAAAAGTATCATCAATGTATAATACTTCAGAGTTTCATCCCTTTTAGCTCGTAAACTTCGACCTTTTGAATTATGATTAGGTGTTTCACAATGGTTATGCAGCTCATGATGGTGTCTGTAAAACTTTCGATAACTTCAATTTTACCAATTGAACCCATGGTTCGATAGCTTCCTTGTAAGCAGCAACCCTATATAATGGAACTCAAGTTCAAAACGTATCAACTGAGAGATATTTACTCCATAATTAAGTAGGCTTTGCTGGAATTTTGCTACATAGAATTAAAAAGTTCACAATTGGAAAGTTAAATCATCTCTTTTGTTCTAAAGTTTTGTTCCTCACCAATTTTCATTGTCGATGTCAAGATATAAGGCAGTTACTGTACACGTGTCATATATTATCAGTTCAAATTCGTTAGGATAAATCCGTTCAACATAGTCACCAAACTTGGCATAATTTTGTGAGATTACATGATCGAAATGTGAAGTTAATGGAATTTTCTAGCTTCTGTTCATTAATTCGGCGGAGTTTGTATATGAAGTTTGCCACATATGAATAAAGTAACAAATCAGCAAGAAGAGGAAAAGTTCAATCTCATTGGACTGCCGATTGTTTATTTTTAAACACGGTATCTAGACGTTACAAATATTGAAGCTACTTATGATGTTAGTTTCAGTAATGTTTTGTTTGAATCTTTTTTTGAGGGGAAACACATTTCGACTTATGAAGTCATTACCATTAATCACGATATACAGAGATAAAATATGACATTAGAAAAGCCCAACTACACTTTAAAAAGGCATGTTAAAACTCTAGGGAAAGTACTAATGAATGTAGATGGACAAAAGTCATGGGAATGTAAAGTATGGTAGCTGTTTTACAATAATGTACAATCAATCATAATAATTTATTTTAATCATATGAGGATGGTTTTTGGTATATGTGGTATTAATATCATAAGCTCTATTTCAAGTTGAATTTCTGGTTTACATTGCTTTTCAACTTTGTAATTAATCTGGCCTTCCAACTATTTTGATTCGAGAGCCATTAATGTGTCTTATGTCTTTTGGTGTAAGAAATTATTAACCTGGTATCGTTTATACAACCCCTTGGTCGATGTCACTGATGGTGGACGTTTCGTTGTCAGCACTTCTTTGTTGACAATAAATATCAATGAAACAGTCATTCACTGTTAATTTTCTGTTTATATATTTTAAAATTTAAAAAACTTTGGTTTTGCCACCATTATCATTTATGGCCTAACCCATATTTGGAATTACGGTTCGTAATAATTGGTTAACAATGCTATTCAACTTCGTAATTGAATTATCCTTGCTACTGTTTGCTTCCAGCGCCAATGATGAGTCTGGTGTCGTTGAATCGCGCGTCTGGTGTCACAAATTATAGGGAAAGCATCTATGAAGACGTTTTTTTAATGGGAAACTTTGAACTATTCAGTTTAAGATAGACATCATCTTTCTAGCGGAACGGAAGACTCGTACATATATCTTTAATTATTTTTGTTTTAAATGCATAAATGAACAAGCCAAACAAGGGAGGGCAGTTGATTTCAGTATGAATGTCGATTGCCTATCAAAAAACACAAATAACAAATATGTTTCCATAAAAAGATTAAGCATCTTTATGATGTCAGTTTCATTAAAAAAATTAAGCACAGTCTGTGGTTTTTTTTCCAAATTTGATTTATCACGTTCTTAAACAAAATATTTATATCTATGGTGGTCATATTTTTTATGAAATCTAATTGAACAAGAGTTCGTGTGGCATTTGTACTATGTTAGGACAGTAATGATATCTAGTGCAGTGAAAAAAAATGAAGTGCTTCACCTTTGGTTGGCATTCCTAAGAAACAAAGAAGAGAGTGTCCGAGTGAATTTAACCCTTTATCTAATTTGGTCTGGTGCAAATACTCAATTTCAGTCCTGGTATCTATGATGAGTTTATTTACAACCACTGGGTCGATGCCACAGCTGGTGGAGTTTTATTCCCCGAGGGTATTACCAGCCCATGGCCAGTAATCAGCACGTACTACATAACTTATCATTGGTATGTCATAATTATAAATTAACGGTTTACAAAATTTTGAAATTTGAAATACTAAGGCCTTTCTACCTCAGGAATTGATTACCTTAGCTGTATTTGGCAAAACTTTTAAGAATTTTTTGGTCCTGAATGCACTTCAACTTCGTACTTTATTTGGCCTTTTTAACTTTTTTTTTATTCGAGCGTCACTGATCAGTCTTTTGTAGACAAAATGCTCATCTGGCGCAAATACAAAATTTCAATTTTGGTATCTAAGATGAGTTATTTGTGATTTACAAACAATAAAAATGTGATTTGGGGCTTTGTCAGCAGGGAAAACAATATATTTGTAATGCATATTGTCATGTTTGGGTGTTAGAAGATAGAAATAGTATGAGTCACGTCCATAGATCCTTTCAAATTTCCGATTCAGATTTACATATACAGCCTTACAGACTAAACCATTCGGATTGAGTACCTTCGTCTTTTTTTTTATGTCTGAGCGTTCGGTCTCATATCTTTAGGAGTTCATTGAATCTCTCTTTTGTCACCGTGATTTGTATCTTCTCAATGTATCCATGATTATTAAACTACTATTTTCTCGTATTTTAGTCCATGATGTGCCTTAATCTTCGATCTAAAGCATTTAGAATATTTCAACAGAGATACGGAAGCTACCAATTGGATACTAAAGTCATGTTTCCATTGATGGATATATAGTCACGGTATTTTAACTATTTGATTAACACATTTTGTAGACAATGTTGCCAATGTTCAGGCCAACAGTGATGAGGTGGTCAGTCGACTTACATGTGATGGCAACGCTTGTGCAATTAGGAGGTTTTGACATTTAATATAGTTCTATTTTTAATAAAGAGCAGTACCGAAATCTAAATTATACAATGACAAACATCTTATAAATGCACATAACAAACAGGTGTCTATTCTATTTTCCTGTGTATTTACGAATTGGGTAGTATGTCTTCCATTTTTCTGAGGCATATCGATGACTCCAGTTAACAGGTAGCAGTCTTTTAAAGTTGATCGATTGAAAATAATTCAAATTGTGACTAAAAAAAAGTAATACAAATATTAAAATTTACTCATTTTTATCAGTATTATTTGAGACAAGGTAAACTTAAAACGCATAACTCTTCAATGTAATTTTGTAATCAAGTTCATTTGACTTTCCTTCCTACCCCGGTAACACACACGCACACAATTACAGTTGGAGTAAGAATTATTTACCATTCCCACGGCCACAAAAATGATCAGTTCTAGGATGAAGAAAAAAACGTCATTGGTGTCTTAAATAAAACAAGATGAAAATGTCCAATTTGAGCAGGAAATGTTATCAGTGTTGGTTTCATGTTGTGGGGAAAGACATCGATGCAATATAATATAATTTTTGTATCGCGATAGCAGAAATAATTTTTTACTCCTTATAGGATACTAGTACATTATTTTAGTAATATAAGTACTAAGCTATATAGTGTCTAGGTTAAGTCAAATTGTTTGTTTATCATTTGAAATACTGGTTAGCTTTTCTCCTTTTCTCTCTCCTAGTACGTGCATGACGATCCCTTGTTATCACTCACATGTCCATCTGGTATCTTTCGCCCCTCTTTCACAGTTTTGTTAATCTTTTGGTTATCAAAATGCCAAAAACTTTCGATCTCACAAGGGAAAGCACAATACATAAGTTATGTTGCTGTAAGTTAAGTATTACCTTCTGCTTAGTTAGGGATACACATTTAATTCCGAAATCGATTGAATTGTATTTCTGAACTTACTGAAGTGTAAAACGCTTTAAAGATGCTCCAAATGGAAAACATTAATTAGGAATATTACATCATAAATAATACCTTACAAACACACACATGCATAAAAATACACCTTAAATTACGGGCTTAATATTAAACAAATCAAAAATATTACATCATAAATAATACCTAACAAAGACACACATGCATAAAAAAACACCTTAATATTAAACAAATCAAAAATATTACATCATAAATAATACCTTTCAAAGACACACATGCATAAAAAACACCTTAATATTAAACAAATCAAAAATATTACATCATAAATAATACCTTACAAAGACACACATGCATAAAAAAACACCTTAATATTAAACAAATCAAAAATATTACATCATAAATAATACCTTACAAAGACACACATGCATAAAAAACACCTTAACATTAAACAAATCAAAAATATTACATCATAAATAATACCTTACAAAGACACACATGCATAAAAAAACACCTTAATATTAAACAAATCAAAAATATTACATCATAAATAATACCTTACAAAGACACACAGGCATAAAAAACACCTTAATATTAAACAAATCAAAAATATTACATCATAAATAATACCTTACAAAGACACACATGCATAAAAAAACACCTTAATATTAAACAAATCAAAAATATTACATCATAAATAATACCTTACAAAGACACACATGCATAAAAAAACACCTTAATATTAAACAAATCAAAAATATTACATCATAAATAATACCTTACAAAGACACACATGCATAAAAAAACACCTTAATATTAAACAAATCAAAAATATTACATCATAAATAATACCTTACAAAGACACACAGGCATAAAAAACACCTTAATATTAAACAAATCAAAAATATTACATCATAAATAATACCTTACAAAGACACACATGCATAAAAAAACACCTTAATATTAAACAAATCAAAAATATTACATCATAAATAATACCTTACAAAGACACACATGCATAAAAATACACCTTAACATTAAACAAATCAAAAATATTACATCATAAATAATACCTTACAAAGACACACATGCATTATAAAACACCTTAATATTAAACAAATCAAAAATATTACATCATAAATAATACCTTACAAAGACACACATGTATTAAAAAACACCTTAATATTAAACAAATCAAAAATATTACATCATAAATAATACCTTACAAAAACACACATGGATAAAAAAACACCTTAATATTAAACAAATCAAAAATATTACATCATAAATAATACCTTACAAAGACACACATGCATAAAAAAACACCTTAATATTAAACAAATCAAAAATATTACATCATAAATAATACCTTACAAAGACACACATGCATAAAAAAACACCTTAATATTAAACAAATCAAAAATATTACATCATAAATAATACCTTACAAAGACACACATGCATAAAAAAACACCTTAATATTAAACAAATCAAAAATATTACATCATAAATAATACCTTACAAAGACACACATGCATAAAAAACACCTTAACATTAAACAAATCAAAAATATTACATCATAAATAATACCTTACAAAGACACACATGCATTATAAAACACCTTAATATTAAACAAATCAAAAATATTACATCATAAATAATACCTTACAAAGACACACATGTATTAAAAAACACCTTAATATTAAACAAATCAAAAATATTACATCATAAATAATACCTTACAAAAACACACATGCATAAAAAAACACCTTAATATTAAACAAATCAAAAATATTACATCATAAATAATACCTTACAAAGACACACATGCATAAAAAAACACCTTAATATTAAACAAATCAAAAATATTACATCATAAATAATACCTTACAAAGACACACATGCATAAAAAAACACCTTAATATTAAACAAATCAAAAATATTACATCATAAATAATACCTTACAAAGACACACATGCATAAAAAAAACACCTTAATATTAAACAAATCAAAAATATTACATCATAAATAATACCTTACAAAGACACACATGCATAAAAAAACACCTTAATATTAAACAAATCAAAAATATTACATCATAAATAATACCTTACAAAGACACACATGCATAAAAAAACACCTTAATATTAAACAAATCAAAAATATTACATCATAAATAATACCTTACAAAGACACACATGCATAAAAAAACACCTTAATATTAAACAAATCAAAAATATTACATCATAAATAATACCTTACAAAGACACACATGCATAAAAAAACACCTTAATATTAAACAAATCAAAAATATTACATCATAAATAATACCTTACAAAGACACACATGCATAAAAAAACACCTTAATATTAAACAAATCAAAAATATTACATCATAAATAATACCTTACAAAGACACACATGCATAAAAAACACCTTAACATTAAACAAATCAAAAATATTACATCATAAATAATACCTTACAAAGACACACATGCATAAAAAAAACACCTTAAGGATGTACTTAGGTGATCTAAGGTAAAATTAAATAAATCAAGAATTCAAAATTGATACTTTAAACTGGAAGAGTATAAACTAAGTATCAAAATAAGCTAAAAAATTTAATAGGTCATGGAGCTCCTTTTCTAGATATTTGATTTATAAAATATGGCGGGAAAAGGCTGACTCGGACTTTTACCTTATATTTGCATTGGTATTATTTGGGTCTCAAATCAAAAGAAAGAAAATTAAAAATCTGCTTAAATTTTGACAAATGACCTTTTATGGGCTATTAACTCTTATGTTAAAAGATAAATAGGTGTTATGGGGCAAAATATTCTACCTTGTATAGTATGGAAAAACACCAAGGAGTCCGAACATTTGACACTTATTCCAAAACCTCACCTAAGTACATCCTTAATATTAAACAAATCAAAAATATTACTCATAAAAAATGTATTTCCGAAAGACATTATAAGGTATATAGGATGTGCGCGGCATTATACTCAAAACTTCCCTTTTTTCAACAGGTTAAAAAATCTGTATATCATAATTGTAATACGAAGTTAACACTTCTAATACACGAGGGGATTTTTACAGACAAATACTTACAAGTCAGGATATTTATATGTCCCTGTTAGAACAGGATACAGTGATTCATACTTTCTACGATTCCCGGATCCATGGATTGCATAAGCATTAAATTTAGTGACTTTTGGTGGGAAATAAGTGCCAGGTATCGTAACCCGCCCAGTCCACTTATTTTTGTTTATGGTAGCTGTATAAGATAATGGTAGTTGTTGCTGAAAAAATAATAATATATTAGTAACTATGTACTTTTCAAATATGAAAACATCATGTATTTGCATACTGAGCTTGTCAAACAATTATATGACGTGTTAAATTAAACATCACAAAAAATCATTCATGGACGCCGCATTTTTATGATTAAATTCAGAAATTGAAATTTAGAAATCCAGACAATAGATCATACTGTGAATTTCCGGTGGCATTCACATATAACTATATTGCTTATTCAAAGTACAAACTAAACAATAAGTTATTAGTTTATGTAGATTGATAATCTATTCTGCTCCCACTGATACAACCAAAATCGTCCTTACAGTCATATAAAGTAAATTAAGAAATCAAAGATATTTTTTAGAAGATGATGATGAAGTACCGAGACGAACTGATTTAAATGACAATTATGAAATAGCATGAAATATACAAAAAAAAGATAAGAAAAAAATGAATATGTGTATTCTTATTCTAACGTCATATCTGAGTCTCATGACTAGTATAGATATATGTTCCTTGAACAAGTTTTGCTATACACTCAAATAAACAAAACAATATGTTATAGAAAACTTTCCAGATAAATAACATGAATATAAATTCGACCAATGACTAATTATTTCCAATTACAATTTTTTTCTCATATTAAGCCATGTATTATATGTATATCTTCTTCTTATTTATCTATATACTTACTTTAAAACTATTCCTTACTCCATGTAGCAAAAGAACCAAGTGTTGGCCATGTCTTGTAAAGATATAAATAACAATAAAGACAAAAACATGTTAAAAAACAAACACAAGTGCTTGGTAAAAGATTTGAGAAAAAGTAAAATAACAAAAATACCGAACTCCGAGGAAAATTCAAAACGGAAAGTCCGTAATCAAAATCAAAAGCTAAAACACCCCAAACGAATGGATATCAACTGTCATATTCCTGACTTGATACATGCATTTTATTATGTAGAAATAGTGGATTAAACCTGGTTTTATCGCTAGCTAAACCTCTCACTTAATTATTCATTTCTAATTCTTTTACTTTATAAATGTGCTTTACATCCAGCGTCGGATAAGGGTGATTATATATCAATATTTCATGGGTTGAGCTAGCTGAAGACAAATCTTAGACTGGCATACCGATTTAAATCTTAGCCAATAAGGTTATTGCAAGAAAGAAAACTATATCTTAGCTTCGAAACATTATTTTGAGGTGACAAGCCTTTGTTCGTATTTTTACATAACATAGGCTTAGTGGGACGCAGCAAGTGTTATTGAAACCCGATTCAACAAAGAATACAAAAAACCGAGGCTATCATGATTTCAAAGACAACCTTAGAATTTTTTGTTTTTTATTTTCTGTAATTTGAAGATGTTTTCATAATTTAAAACAATTGAACAATGTACTGGATTGATTTGATTTGATTTGATTTTTTGTGTTTTAACGCCACTTTTAAGCACCGCTTTCGGGCTATTTCGTGGCGGCCAGTTTTTATTGGTGGAAGAAGCCGGAGTGCCCGGAGAAAACCACCGACCTTCGATAGGAAAACTGACAATCCTAGTCAATTAAGATTGGAGTCGAGTGCGCCCGCACGAGCGGGGTTCGAACTCACAACCTCAGTGTTGACTGGCTAGTGATTACAGTAGTAACTACTTAGACCACTCGGCCACCGAGGCCCCTTGTACCGAAGGACTTTCATGTTAAGTTTGTGAGTAAGAACCCTGGATTACACATCAATAATCTCTAGAAAAAATGTGTTTAATCCTTATGATTCTTCAGCCAAACATTCGCGATTTTTAGTTAAGATTTTTTGTTTGATGGCTACTACCATCAAATGACCATGTCGAAACTAAGGAGTTTGCCGCCATATTGAATTTGTAAAATCCGTAAATGTTCGATAAATGCAACAGAATCTAAGGTAGCAATACACAGTTAGGAGTATGGTTTCGCATTTTGGCCACGGTGGATTTTTCAAATATGAAAGTTATTGTGTAATAAAATTAATTTTTAGACAGCTGAGTACTAATTTAGCCTTAAAAGGTGGTTTATAAGGACATCAAGATTATTTTTTACATGTTTTATGGGCTATTTTCTGTTTGACTCTCCGTATTTTCATAGCTAGACCGGTCATCGGTCCAGAAATTAATGTAATGTTAACAAACACTTTTTTTCTACACGAAGTTTTGACGCAATTTTACAAAAAATGAGACGAAAGACATATGATTTTCATTGGATTTATTGAAAGATATATGTAAACAATTTTAGAAAAGGTATTACTTGAAGTGATTGAAATTCTACTTTTGGCCAAATTTTGGGGAAATATGTGACATCCTTTCCCCCCTTTTTTCTATATTTTATAACAAAAAAATGCAGATTGTTGCCATGGATACACCAAAAAGAAATTATATTTTACCATTTCATATACTGGATATGAAATCTATGGAAGATTCTGATTACATGCATATGCACATATATGACACAAACAGTTAGCTTAACATTGCAAGAAGGCAATGAAAAGGGGATGGTAAAATTTATGAGGATAAATTTTAATATTTTTTCCTAACTGTTTATTGCTACCTAAAATGAAATAGCACTTACCTCAAAAACTGCATTTTAAAATTATCCGAATTTGAAGCTTACATGTAACGAAATAATCTTTCGCTTAAAAGTTTTCATTCGTATTACATCGTGTTTGCCATGACGTAAATGCGCTAAATCATTCATGAAATTTCGTGGAATTTTTTTATAAATTTTAATTTTATGCATTTTCAAAGCTTTAATGCATTATTTTTTTTTTTTTGGTTATATGCATTAGAATAGAAAAAATTGTTATGTTTCTGTTTTTCAAACTCAATTTGCTGAAAATCCCGGGCTCCCTGCACATGCGTGTGTATCGAATAGATGGTACGTAAGTAGTTTCGGAAACATGGTTTATCAAAGTGTAAATCAAGGTAAAAAAATCTAATTAACCAATCCGTTTCAAGTATTTATAGATATGCAAATCATATAAGAATTATATTTGTTTAATAAATCTCAATTGTAAAACCTAAAAAAAAACTTAAATTGGTTCCATTTCTGATGATTTACTCTATTTAAATGATGACAAGAAAAACAATCAACTTACGGACTCAGTTCAACTTCCAAATAATCATTGGCATCATTAAGAAAAAACACCTCTGCAACTAAACGGAAAGAGGAAAATCATATTAGACCAATCGTTATACACACTTCTTCTTCACTACATAAACTGTCTATTATAAGTATAACATCAACGCATGCAATATTACTGAATCAGATTTAGAGTTCTTACCTTTTTTATATTGGGTTGTTGCACACATGACATCTATAGGACCAAGGGTTCAAAGTTGAAAAGTTCGAGGAATTCAAATAAAAGTCGTTTGCCCCACCATCGTGAGGTTATTGGAATAGCTGTGACACAAATGAACATGGATATATTCCAAATGTCCATACCATAATCTCGATTTCGTTTCCGGAATTTTTACATCCCCGCTTGAGACTTATCATCGAAATTTTACTTTACACGAGCAACATATATAACGGATGAAACTAGTAGGGCAGAACATTTTCTTTGTATTTGTGGTCTTGTTTGTCTTTTAGTCATTATCTAATTTTTTTAGGTTTTGAATGTCATCCTGGTATCTTCCACCTGTTTTCTCGACACAAATGATTGGTCGGTGATGATCATGACCAAAAAATTTGAACATAAAATCTAATATATCATATTGACGCTGCAGGACAGTTGAAACAAATAGGGACAAAAAATAAAGTCAAACACGGATATGGGATCTGTGTTATACCTGAGTTAGAAACATTCCTTGATAAAAGTCCATTGCGGTGTTTTCTTTTAATTCATTTCTCGGATTGTTCCTTTTTTCCCCTTTTATAATTCTTTTATAGTAAATATCTTTTCTGGTCTTCATTATCATATAACATTGTCAATAACATGGGTTATCCAAGGGCTCGAAATATTTTTAAGCTAAAATCTGTCAATTGTAAACACGACTTCCAAATACAAATGGTCTAAGTCGGGGATTATGCAAGGCAATGGTTTAACGCGAGAAAAGAAGACGAATATATCTTTCAGAATGGATTAAGTCTGTAAGGTGGCCGATACAAATCAGAAAACAAAATCTGACTTGATCTAAAAAATACACATGCAACATCAATCTTTAGAGACCCAAATGTTGCAAAAATACTTGTCCTACCTCCATGACATATAATAACGTTGTTGTTGCCGCAGATAAAACCCAAAACAGCATCGTTTTTGTGTGTAAATCACATTACATTAACTGTTTTGTTAATGAATTAAGTATATACAATTCACTTGGAACCTCAGCTTATACCCTGACGACAATTACAAAGGAAGAACTCTTTGATAATCATAGGTATGTTTTCTATGTTCTTTTGGAATTGTAACCAGCGAATAGAAAATGGACCTTTCTTCACTGTTTTGGATACCCAAATTACATAAATGCATTAATTTGTAAATAATATGTGTCTCACCTTCATAATCCCATAGTCTAGGAAATGGTTGACCAGGGGTACCACCAGGATTGGCTGGATCATTGAAGAAAGGTGCATCAACATTTATTATCACATTTTTGCATCTGTCTCGATCTAATGAGATTATGACTGGGTCGTGGTCAACAGGCCGACTATTCCAGGTTGTATTGATTTTGAACTTCAACTAAAATGATAATTTGATTTGCATTTTAATATATAGTTGCAATGAGTTCAAATATCTGAACTAAATGTCTGTCGTGTTTCTTATCAGAATAAGTGTTTTGTTCTGAAATTTAAAAATAGGAGGAACACTACTGGTTTCTATAGTTTCACAAGAGCTACTGACCCTTCCAAAGCACTTGATTTCTCCCAATATTTTGTACGTGTTAGTTCTTCTTCAATGTTTTGTAAATTCGTATATGGTTTTTCGTTGTTTTTCTTTTCTTTTCGTATACTCGGTTTTTCAGTTATTTTGTTGTATGTTCATTTTCGTCGAAATCTGGAATAAATGTATTATACAATATTGATATTTTTTTTTAAAGATAGTTAGGCATTTAACAACTGAGTGCTTATATTCAATTTTCATTTTTTTCAATACTATTTCCAAGTCAACAATAACAAATGATGACACACAACAAAAATTGCGCCTGAAGTAAAGAAGCTGGCGGTTCCGTCAATTTGTCATTCTATGTTTAGCATTTTCAAAGTAAGATTGACTGCATATGAATATTTCATTAATTGGAATTTTACAGGGTGTTTTGAATCGTTTGGTCTTTAATGATTAGTTAATTTCATGTACATTATTGAAAAGTCCTACATTCAGAAAAGTCTTACACAAAATCGAAAAAACACTTTATTTGAAAAGCCAAATTACGAATTGGTTTACCTTTATGAAATATCTATTTCGCAGACGACGACGAACATGTTCCAATTGTCGTGACCACAATCCCGACGTTTTTCTCCCAAATGGGGCAATATGCGTAATAGATTCTCCATAGGCGGTAATGTTAACGTTTTCTTCTGTTGCTCAGGCCATATCGTAAACTTGGATATGTATGATGGCTCATTTTGAAGCTGAGACACTTGCACATGTGTGGTGCGATTTTCGGGGTGGCAAGTGTGATTCGTTTTCCCGTCAAGTGCCCAACCCCGAACGATAGTGAAAAATGTCACTCTCCTCAGGAAATAATCCCTAAATTCTGACCATAAAAATCATTAAAAAATATGTCCTTTGTAATTATTTGTTCAGGTTTATTTTTTTATACTTTTTTTCACATCACATCAGCTCTATAAAACACCAGTCCTAGTTCATTTATGTCAATTTTTAAAATCACAGCTTCCACGATTGTATGGCGGACTAATTTTTTAATGAGAGTCATAAATCTGTGTTCCTCATCTCAAGGTCCATTAGGGATATTGACCCATATGCGACCTACCAAAGTAGACTTGTCACCTGGTTTGTACTTACATGAGAGATACGACGAGTATCGAATATGTCAAAAGATCTGCTTACTTTCCGGATGACCTGAACCCACGTATTTGTGGGTTTCGTGTTGCTCAGTCTTAATTTTTTTATGGTGTGTTTTGTTGGCTATTATTCGTCTTCCGGTTGTTTTTTTTTACCAGGCATTGTCAGTTTGCTAGCGAACTATGATTTCGACTGTCCCTCTGCTAGCTTACGTCTCTCTTTTAGTAAATGAAATACATATTATGATTCCTTAAATCTGTTAGAAAACATGGATTACAAATTTCATTAAGATATTGTTTTCATTTATTTTTTCTTTAGTACTTACGGCATTTTTTGTTGGCTTCCGCCTTCTGCATGATCTTTTAGCATCTATATTCTGTGTCAGTAATGATAATACCAAAATAAAAGTTGTGATATACTTAGTTTCCATTAAGCTAAAGTCGTTCAATTTTTTGTTATAAACAATCTATGTATCGCTGAAATATAATGATGTAATTACAATGAATGCAGTACTTTTATAATAAACAGTGAATAAAGTCATCAATCAGTGAAATCCAGACTGTTCAATTAAAAACAATATGCAAAAAAGATATATCATTGTGATTTCATGCAAATGATCATATGTAACAGTTGTCGTACTATGTATATTAGAATTTTATTCCAATTAAATGCAACTGTACATTCCCTACACAATTAGCAGAGTTGGTTGGTATTGTTTTGCTCGCTCATATCTTTTTTTTTATAGATTTTATCATGTTTTGTTTATTTTTTGTCGTTTTGTTTCTGTGTTCGTCACACGGTTTTGTTTGAGGTTTTCTCCCTTTGATTCAGTTTCACATTCCATTAATGTATAACGAAAGAAGTGGAATGACTTTATAAATCTTTCTTTGTATAAAAAAAGAAAAAAAAATATATTCCATGAGAATGCCTGAATTATTCATTAACAACACTTTTGTTTCGTTGTGATGACGTGTTTTTCAACAAACCATCGGAATTCCAATGGGAACTAACTGTGCCTCTGTTCTTTGATCATTTCATTCATATGTAACTAACTTTGTTCATGAGCTCAAGTTATACTGATACTTCATATTTCATCCTCTTTTGTTATAATTTATATTAAAACAGATTTGAAAGGAGTAACACGCTAAGAAACACTATTGGAACAGAAATTAATGACAGTTCAGAAGCCAATGAGTTCAATCTATGATTTTTAAGGGGTTTTATTCGCCTTCACTTGCTTGTGATGTGTTTGTCGACTGTCATATTATTTTGGGGGATGGTGTTGTTTGCTTTATTATTTTTTTCTTTTGACTTTTTATTTCCCACTTGGCATCTTTGTTTCGAGCTGAAATTGTTTTTGCTATTAAAACTTAAGAGTTAGTTAATATATTCATCTAGAAGAAGGAGAATCTATGTTAGGTGTAAATATAAGATATTTAAGTTAATGTATTTTCAAGTTCCATTTATTCAGTTATCTACATGGATGCTATATATGAATGCTGTAACACAAGGTTTTGATCGAAAAGGTAATTAATGCTTATGAAAATCTGTTACTTACGTCATCGATCAAGATAGTTATAATCAACACTGATCAAATAACAAAATATTCAGTTATTCATACAAGATATTTATATATAATACAAATGTAAATTATTTTGCGTAATAGATCATGTATGTGAACTATTATTCAAGAGAGATTTAGGACATATACTTTGTTTTTCAAAACAAACATTTTAGGATGATCAATAATCTTTGAAAACGAGGACAATGTCATATGATCCCATGTCAAAAAGACATATTCAACAAACAAACCTCCTATACACCAAATACAGTTTAGATATTGGCTTTGGAGAAACTGGCATAATCATGAAAACTGTGATTAAACCCATGTTATATTAAACAATACTTTTAGATATTTGGATGATATATTGGCTCTCAATAATGACGACTTCAGTATGTATACTATAGAAATTTATCTTTTTGAACTCACTTTAAATAAAGCTATTACTACCAAGGAACACTGCCCTTTCCTCGATCTTGATATCTATATTATTAACGGGAAACTTTATACCAAAATATATGATGAAAGAGATGATTTTTCATTTCCTATCGTTAATTATCCTTTTTTAGGTGCTGAGGTTCCCTTGTCACCATCTTATGGTGTTTATATATCTCAACTTGTACGATTCGCTCGTGTATGTAACAACGTATTAGATTTCAGCGAGAGAAATGCATGTATTACTGAAAAATTATTACACCAGGGTTTTCGATATCACAAACTAGTCAAAACATTTACTAAATTTATCTTCGGTACAAGGATATCATTCGTGAATATAAATCAACATGCAGACATCTTGTACGTTCAGGTATTTCAAATTCAATTTTTTATGGTAATATTCTTTACAAAGCACAAAAATGTCTGCATTCACCTCAAAATCTAAAAAAACCTTTAAACAGACTTATTAAGAAGGAGTATAGCTACGATACTGTTGTCAGGTCATTAAAGATTGCATATTTTGGCTTTAATATTGATTCACTTATAGGGTTTTTGCATCAGAAATAAACACATTTATTCTAAAACCAGTTGTTGGCATCATACGGGTTATGTTCTTCTCATATATTTTATGATGGTATAATACTAAACCCCTAACGGGAGGGATTGTGCTTGATATTCATATGATGAAGACATCATCTTTCAATCAGTTTAATTGAGGTCTGGAGCTGGCATGTCAGTAACTGCTAGTAGTCCTTTGTTAATTTATGTATCATTGTCATTTTGTTTAGTTTCTTTTGTTACCTATTCAGACATCGGACTCGGACGTCTTTTAAACTGAGTTTTACTGTGCGTATTGTTTTATTTGTTTTTCTACATTGGCTAGAGATATAGCGGAGGGCTGAGATCTCAAAAACATGTTTAACCCCGCCGCATTTTTGCGCCTGTCCCAAGTCAGGAGACTCTGGCCTTTGTTAGTCTTGTATGATTTTTAATTTTAGATTCTTTTATATATTTCGGAGTTTAGTATGAGTCCATTATCATTAAACAAGTATACATTTTTTTTCGGTGCCAGCTGAAGCACGCCTCCTGGTGTGGGAATTTCTCGATGCATTGAAGATCCATTGGTGACCTTCGGTAGTTATCTGCTCTTTGGTCGGGGTGTTTTGTCTTTGACACATTTCCCGTTTCCATTCTCAATTTTATGTTGTTAAGGTTCAGTGAACACTGTCTACATGACACGAGTCATATGCAATGATTCTACACAACAAATAGAGTTGATCTATAAAAACTCAGAAGATCATTTGATACAATGCCGCCATTATTAAGACAACTGTAGTTTACCGATGTTTCGATCTCATACATAAATAGATAAATAAAGGTCACATCAAGTTAAGAACAACTCATGTATGCCAAGCGGACATTTTGAACTCTTTGCAAAGAAGTGAAATGACTTTTAATTTACTTTATTTATATTTGCATAGTTTCTTCTTTTGGTTATTCTAATATAATTATCTAATCTTCAGGTGGTTCAGGCTGAAGTTGGATCCAATACAACCTTTGATTTCTGCCAAAATGGTAGAATCTGTATATATGTGTAGGATCATCCTCTGGATCATTTAAATTAAATGATTTCCAGTTATGTCTATCTTTTTTAATCAGTTATATGGTGGATTCGGATATTTGAGTGCACATTGTTTCAACGAAGTCCCACATGAAAAAGACTATGTATGTGTGTCTTTTTACTCGAAAACGGTGATAAAAAGAGGTAGGAGAAAACTATGGGGCAATCAAAGCCATCAACAGAGGCAAAGGTCAGACGAATCCTGTCAGATAGACATGTACTTCTAACAATCATCACATACACGAATATAGTTGACATATTGCTTGTAATATTTGAAATATGGACTTATCCAAGAACTGAAGTTCGTTCAGGCAGAAAGACAAGTAGACCTAGCAAGGATCCATATCCCGAACATAGTTATCCATTTGATAATTAATGTGCAATTCAGGTGATTAAAAATCATTCGCTTAACCTGAAAACGAGGTCATTGACATGTACAATAAAATTGAGAATGAAAATGGGGAATGTGTCAAAGAGACAACAACCCGACCATAGAGCAGACAACAGCCGAAGGCCACCAATGGGTCTTCAATGCAGCGAGAAACTCCCGCACCCGGAGGAGTCCTTCAGCTGGCCCCTAAACAAGCATGTTACTAGTTCAGTGATAATGGACGTCATACTTAACTCCGAATTATACACAAGAAACTAAAATTAAAAATCATACAAGACTAACAAAGGCCAGATGTTCCTGACTTGGGACAAGCGCAAAAATGCGGCGGGGTTAAACATGTTTTTTGAGATCTCAACCCTCCCCCTATACTTCTAGCGAATGTAGAAAAACACAAACGCACAACAATACGCATAGTAAAACTCAGTTTAAGAGAAGTCTGAGTCCGATGTCAGAATAGGTAACAACATAATCTAAACAAAATGACAATAATACATAAATTAACAAAGGACTACTAGCAGTTACTGACATGCCAGCTCCAGACCTCAATTAAACTGATTGAAAGATTATGTCTTCATCATATGAATATCAAGCACAATCCCTCCCGTTAGGGCTTTAGTATTATACCATCATAAACTATATGAGAAAAACATGACCCGTGTCATGCCAACAACTGGTTTTAGAATAAATATGTTTAATTCCGATGCAAAAACCCTATAAGTGAATCAATATTAAAGCCAAAATATGCAATCTTTAATGCCCTGACAACAGTATCGTAACTATATCCCTTCTTAATAAGTCTGTTTAAAGGTTTTGTCAGCTTTTGAGGTGAATACTGACATTTTTTTGCTTTGTAAAGAATATTACCATAAAAGATTGGATGTGAAATACCTGAACGTATAAGATGTCTACATGTTGAGTTATATTTACGAAAGATGTCCTTGTACCGATGATAAAATTTAGTAAATGTTATGGCTATTATAACAGAAGGAAAGTTCAGCAGTATATTTTCAGTGCTAAAGAAGAAACACATCAAAAGCAAAATGTCGAAATATCAAGTTACAATACTGCATTATTTTATAATCCCCTTGCATACGCAAATGACAAATATAATCTTCCTCTCTCCTTTGAGAAGTCTTTTTAAAATTCTTTTTTTTAAAACACTACATCCAAGCCCACTTTTCCAAATGATTTCATACTTATATGCACGGTAATCTTTGCCTAGGATAACAACTTCCATAGTATCTATGATTGTGTGTAATCATGTGTAGATGATCAAACAATATCACTATTTCCATTAGACACACAGTTTTGTAGAGGTTATTTAACTTTGACAATTTTAGTCATACTTTAGCTTGATAACAACATGTGAACGAGTTAAAACAATTTGATGTATTTTTCTTTCATAGGGCAGCACATTGGTATGTTACCTGAATGATGATCACTTAAATTTTCAAATTCATACC